CTCAAGTCCTCTCAAGTCACAGGTTCAAGTCCCGAGTCTGACTTGAGTCCAAGTCACGAATTGCAAGTCCCCACCTCTACTTAGAACTATGGCTGGGTATGTAAAAGTACACCAAAAGGGGGCCTGCCGCCTACTTGCCTTCATGGAGATGTTATTGCTTTGTCTGGAATGTTCCACAGTATGTCAGTATAGCAACCTATTTAGCGTCTATCAAATCATGGGTGGTTTATTGCTCAAACCTACCTCAAAAAGATAAAATCTGTTGAGACCAAGCATGCTAACAATTGGTCCGATGGCCTCACCTGCTTATTTCCAAGGATGGAAATGGTCCCTGTTAAATAAATTGAACTAGATGCATTAAAAGCCCTATTGCTTATTTCAGTTAGTCCAACTTTTTTACTGTAATTGTACAAAAATCACCAGCACACTGCTGGAGTAAACACACCAGCAGTGTCTAAAATAGATAATTACCCACACATTCTCCCATTCATGTTTTCTCCCACCACATAACACTGATTTGAATGCACACACCACAGCTTGACTTTTTCAAAACATCTTCCCATAGTCCCCACCTGCATGAGCCCTCTGCCCAGTACTGTATATTCTTAGACTGTGAATGTAGAAGGTGTGTCAGCGAGTACAGGGCCGGTCTGAGAGCTGCTGAGGAGGCACAAAGTGATGCGTTGTTTCCTCCGGCGCGTGAGAACAGAGCGGCATTCAGCCTTTCAACAGACCCCCTCCACAAAGACGCTCACTGTGGGGCCTGACTGTAACTGTCTATACACGTGTTATTATTGTTATTACAAAGCCTTGTCATGTGGTGCACCGCAATACAGGCAATATTACATTATAGAGGGTCAGATGTGCAGCCAATACAGAGATTATACACGCTACTGTGGATTCATTGTGTTTAGTAGTGGAGATGATAAGCCTTCATGTGGATGGACCCTGATATCACAGTGTTGCATTATTGTTATATTGTTAGAGGCGTATTGTTCATTTCGCTATGAATCAATTCATACAAGCTTGATTAACCATCTGTACTGCCAAACTACATAGTACCTAGACAAATCGCTCTAATTGAACTGCTTGTGAATAAACCAAGCTTTTTTTCTTTCTTTTTTTTATCATCAATATATTATTATTTTACAGTAATATGGATAATAGGGCTGTCATCAACAAAAGAAATTCTTGGTTGACTAAAGACATGTCGTGCTGATGGATTAGTTGACTAATCTAGGGGGTGTGCCAAAAGCGCTCAAACAATTCATAATCTATATGATCTGACCATTTAACTGCACTCAAAATACTACAACTGCATGTGAGTTCATGCAAAAACAACTATATGACAAAAATGTATTGGGAAAAGTGTATTTATACTGAAAAAGGCAGAATAAACACAGGATTCACTCTCAAATTTCAACTAATCCAGTCCCTACTTTATTCTTCTGCTGTGCATATAATTCTTTATAATTTATTAAATAATTTGTTGATTACTTCAAATTGTGGTCATAAGGCACTATTGACCAATAAATCAATTAAACGACTAAAGGACTACATCCCTAATGGTTAATATGGAATATTTATCCTATACATATTCAAAGCAAAGACCAAAGACAAAATACCAGGATTAACCCAAAAATTATGCAAATCTCGCTTACTGTTGTAGTTTTCAGTAGGCCGAGATCTGTAGCCTTTATTTCAGCATTGTACATACAACCATTCACCCCCACCCTCCTCTCTCTCTCTCTCCCTCTCTCTTTCTCTGTCTCTCTCGTCTCCCTCCCCCCGTAGATCTTTGGCATCCTCTCAGCTCTATGCTAATGATGGGGCTATAGCAACCTGCTCTGGTGCGTCTAATACAGCAGCAGCCTCACACTTCAAAGACAGGGAGCTGGTTAACTGACTGAGAACAGAAATAGTGTCCCCCGGTGGTAAACATGCACGTTAATATCACATCCACACACATAAGGACAGCCACAGATGCGGTTGTTAGCATTAGTGGGATACTTGACATTTAGTGAAGGCGACTAAAGTGATCTTTACAGATATTAATGCCTGGAGTGCTAAACTAAAGCTGGCATTCAATATTTCAGTGCACCAGATGACTACAGTAAATAATATTAGTAGTAATAATATTAATATCAGTTGTATGCACAGTAGTAGATGGCTATGGATAAGATTTACAGTATGTTTGTTTTTGTATATCTAGGGCAGAGCTCTCAACAATTTCAAATTCTATAATCACATTTGTGTCCATGACTCTATCACAGGCTAGAATGATCAAGTCTGACTGGTGTATGCAAACAAATATGAAATGACCAAAAATAACATAAATCTGTAAGTATAACAACAGAAAAGATATTTGCAGGAGTTTCTCATGGCCATGATTTTTAGCCTTGGAACCAATGACTTCATGTCTTTTGAGTGCTCCAATAGTAATTAATGTATTTCTGTAATTACACCTGAAACACAAACTGACACAAAATTCAATATCTTCCCTGCTGGCACAAATATAAGGGTAAACCACAATTCCCTATCAAATCATTAAGGTCCAACCATTGAAATGACCCTACTGAACATCAGCAATCAAAAAAAATAGTAAAATAGCCCAATAGTTTTCTCCGGTTCCCCCATCAACACCAAAACGTACCATAGGTAAATGTTCAGCTTAAGCTCAAGATCCAGATCTTGGGTCCTGGGCATAACACTACAACACCCACTGCTACTGACAGGATGCTCCAGCATAACTGAAGGATGGGTCAAATGCGGAGGATATATTTCCCTACTTGGAGAACAAAGTGTACCTTACCCTTAGTTATAAAGGATCCTGTCCTCCATCTGAAAATATTATCATATTCTATAATGTCATGAACATAACCTATCCATGGATTTCAGAATGAGAAACACTACAACAGCTTCCTTAGAAAATTTAAGGAAAAATATTATACCTTTTAAAATGTGAAAAAAACTCAAAATGTTGCATACAACATGAAGCTGAAACTCATGAATTTACATACATGTGTGAAAAAAAAAAAAGACAAGACAACTCATTAATCAAACAAACCTCTACAATGGTCAAGAGAAGCGCTAACCACTCTAGCACTCACACTGTGTAACCAAATGCTTTTTTTATCTAGATGTTTCAATTATGTAAGACGTATACGATGAAAGGGTATTAGGCTGACTTGTCAAACATGAGTAGTTTTTGAAGTTCTGAGTTGGCAAAAGTATCTCTATGACCCAACAGGCCATAATGTTTAAACTTCCAATGTAAATGTAGGAGAAAGATCACTTTCCTTGGTATGCAAAATGTCTGCATAATTAGTTTGATGAGTCGGGAAAGGGCCTGAACACTGCAGCATGTATAGACCGTCCTTTTACACAGTGAATCTACAGTAGCCTGAGTCAGCCCACATGATTACATTCAAATCGATAGTTACAGTCTGGAGTCAGGGCAGGAAATATGACTGAGAGGACTGGAGGTTTTGCATAAAGCGGCCACTCCATATGTTCATTAAACGTGTTTGTGAGTCAGTTTTTCTCTGATGACAGCATTGTTTACAGTGCAATCCAATCTGACAACCCCAATCATCAGCCTGGCTCTGACCAAATGGACCCTGTTACCAGTGATCCACTCATGCCTTTCTGTTGTTATGACATTTAAATATATGGCCCATGTTTGTCACGTGATACTGCACTTTGAATGGCCATGTGTTTGTTTTGGTTCCAACATAAACCATTGCGCAAAATCATATAGAATTTCTTAAGGTGCAAGGTCATATTATCAGGTTAACTATTCAACAAATGCAAATGACAATGTTTTAGTTTTTGTATTGTATTATATTTACATATGTACATTTTGTGTACAATCTTATCTTCTATGTTCAAAACTATAGTTCTGTTATCCATGTCATCAAAGTTGCAGAACTAGATAGACACATCTATCTATCAATCAAAAAGTGAAATAATATGCTCTTTCATCTATTTTCAAGTCCTCTTTCACTACAACCAAATATCATTGTAGGCTTTCCTTAAGTCCTCCTGGCTCCTTCTCAGTCAAACTATAGAATAAAATTTCCCCTTTTTCATTGCAAATCCTATCCAGTTTAGACAATCTCACCGTGTTTAGTTCAAATATGCTTAAATGTTTTTTCAAATGTACTTAAATCCAATATTGTGTGACCTACTTTATTTTCTTTAGTATCCTTGTTCATCTTTATATACAGCCCCATAATGCACAAATTGTAAGTACCTCTCCAGTGACTGTCTCTTAACCAGGTGATAACGACCACAGCATTGACTTGTATCTGACACAGCCACACATAAATCCTACATAACGCTTTAGCCTGGCATAATGTTTTCCACTCTCTTCACAACTGGGTCTCTGTAGCACCCGCCAATACCGCTGACAGCGTACAAGATTGATTTAAGAGATCCATAATTTCATTTTGCACATCGAGGCCCACACCATAGAGACTGTCCGTGAATGCATTCCACCTGACATGTACATAGCCATGTTGTCTACCACAGAGAGTGCTTCTACACTGAAAGCCAGTATAATCAACAAAGAGCAAAAGCATGGATCAATAAGAAGCGTTAATGGCAGATTAGAGGATGCAACGCGTACAGGGATTAGACAGTGTAATAACTGTGTCATAAATGCACACAGAGAACAAAGAAACGAGCCTTTACGTTTAGGACACTTCCTAAAAACAGTGCGGGAAACTGAGCTGAAATATAGAAAAAAAAATATTTGGTTCAAAATTGGCATGTTGACATCGCTTTTACGCATTCACGTCAGATGAAAAAAGCAAGCACCAGCCCAATTCACACAAGCGCAAATCAGCTAAAGATGAAGTGGAGGCAACAGTACAATGTGTGCGAATCGATAAGGATTGAGAGGTGCGCGATGCAAGGTCACCAGTGACGCGATACTGGACAACAAGAGACGCACCGACGCTATAAACATGGAAGAAATGGACAAAATAGCACGACACCTTTTTGGACGCTTTTCTTCGTCCTCGCCGCTCGTGTAGAGGTAGAGCCCACGACTCTCTATTGTGTTGCTGATGCTGCGGGTGCAAGACAGGAGATAGGCGCGGAGGGAGGAGGCAGGCGCGCAGGCAAAGCAGTCGGTCCCCCCTGCACAGCTGCACACGCGGACCAGACGGAGGAGAAGGAGAGAGAAGACAGGATCTGGATCTGAGGAGGGTGTGGCAGCGACGGGGAGAAGGCGAGAGATGATGGCATACCACGCGCATTGGCACACGCGAGCCTCTGTCACGATGCGAGCACGTTACAGCAACGTAGGCTCGTGGACTTGGACTGAACCAGACCAGAGCGTAACCAGTCAAAGATAAAACGGTCAATGAGGCGCCTATTCCCAATGGTTGATGGAGTGGATAGGCTGTAATGGGGTCATATGTCTGCTGGCTTAAAGCCAGTGCATTGATTTATGAGTATAATTATAACATGTAACATCAAGTTGGCCTGGAAATTCAGGTTTGTGAGTTTTCAAATAAAATTTAATTTTCCAATAGATTTATAGTAGTATTCCTTTCAGTGCATCTATCTCATAATATATAGCCTATCATATCTGTTTTAATTGTTGTCACCCGTATTAAAGAGTAAATATCTTTGAGATTTTTTTCGACTGAAATGTGTGAATATTATTTCATTATAATATATATATTTTAAAAAAAAAAAGTAAAGTAACTAAAATCTCCAGTTTTTTTGTTTTGTTTTTTTTTGTTTTTTTTTCACTCAACCTTTATTTCTCCCTTTTCTTCACATTTTTGTGTGAGTAAGCGGAAGGGGCGTGGCTTTCTCTTCTGCGCTCTCAACTTCTGCTTTTCCAAAGTTCAGTATGGGTACGTGGTAGCGGACCCAGACAGGCTGGTTTGGGGACTTTTTATCCGTTTGCCCCAAAGCTTGATTAACGGAACGGGAATATGTTTTCTTTCAAGGCGGAGCGCTCGGCGAAGAGGCACGGAGGCGCTCGGAGCGGACCTCCTGGAACCATTCGGGTCACCATGAACTCTGTGTCGGTGCGCCGCAACTCTGCCGTGCTGCCGTCCGTGCTTACTTTCCTGGTGATTGTGGCATCGGGAGGCCTGCTCATGATGATCGAGAAGGGCATGCTGAACACCGTGGAGGCTCCGGGACCGCGGGCCATGGGCAGGAGGGTCCCCACGGCAGGGGAAATGGGAAACAGTCACGGATACGAAGACGTGGACTTCCAGGTAGGGTCTCCAAAAAACACCCAGGGAGCACAGTGTTAGTGAAGTGACTTGAGTGAACATGATTAGTGATAGTGATTTAAATCTCACTAAACTGCCCCCAATAAAAGTAGCTGAACAATGAAACTTTTACGCGCAGTGCGTAATATGCGTCACCTTTTTTTGATTTATGCTTTGACGCTCTTTAGTTTCTTGTTACAGATGTAACTACTGCCAGCTCAGTTGGAGAGAGGTAAACAACATAATGATACATCATTATGATACAAACACGTGCATAGATGTTATTACACTGTCGTTACTCGATATATTTGCTTGGTAAACAGAAACTCTGTGATTCATGGATCATTGTCACATTATTGTTTACATTGCATTATTTATCATGCAGCATATGTAAGAAAGTCATTTTCGTACATGTACAAAATAAAATTGTATTATATAGTAGTAGTTGTAATTTCCTTAACCACATACAACTCCCATTGTCTCAGCATGCGAGGAAAATAATTGACAATTAAGACAATACACACCCTGGATTCCACCTGTTCAACCTTTTGCCTTTTTGCACTCGATTCAGGTCAATTCCAGCTAGGACCAACAGACTCAGGGACAGCTTCTTCCCCAAAGCTGTCACCATACTTAGAGACCTGTTCATTTGTTTTATTTATTAGTAATTCTTGCACTTTGACGGAGCACAATAAAGGCTTTCTATTCTATTCTACTTTATAGATTATCATGTTTCATAGTAGGTTTAGTATTTTTCATCATATAGTGAAGGTGTGATTAGCTCAGTAGAGCTCTGTGGGTGAATGAATAGCTGCTTATAGATTCCATTACACCATAGAACATGGACTAAAACTTTTTAACATTTTACCATAAGTATGTTTTAGACTGGAGTTAACATTTTGGTTATTCTTTCCCCCTTATGTTTAAATTGCTAGGGCTTGACTTAGCTTAATATCCCCATTTTTCTACCCATCCTATCATGTCAAAGCTTAGCTTTAGCTTTACTGTCCAGTCACACAAAACCTTCAGGTCAAAACTGTTATCAGTAATTTATTTTTGTGTGTGAAGGTTTCTCAGGACATCCGGAACCGGACCATCAAGGCCATGTGCAGTCAGAGGAACATGCCTCATGATATTTGGTCCCTTCAGCCAGCACAGAGACGGACGTTACTCCAACACATTTTAGTCAACGACCAATACGGCTTTCTCTACTGTTATGTGCCCAAAGTCGCCTGCTCCAATTGGAAAAGAGTTCTGAAGGTTTTGAGCGGGGCCTTGGAGAATGTCAAAGTCAATATTAAGATGAACCACAAAAGTGATCTTGTATTTCTGGCATCCATGAAACCAGACGAAATAAAGTACAGACTTAAGCACTACTTCAAATTCATGTTCGTGCGAGAACCTATGGCTCGTCTACTTTCTGCGTACAGGAACAAATTTGGCGAGATTGAGTCTTATCAGAAAAAATATGGCATTGAAATCGTAAAAAGATACAGGAAAGGATACATCAAGGATTCCAAAATTGCCGGAGATGATGTAACCTTTGATGAATTTGTCCGTTACTTGCTCGATGAAGATATCGAGCGAATGAATGAGCATTGGATGCCCATGTACAACTTGTGCCAGCCCTGTGTCATACCGTATGACTTCATTGGTTCCTATGAGAACCTTGAACGGGATGCAGAGTATGTGCTTCAGCAAATCAAAGCACCCCCAACTGTCCATTTTCCAGAAAGGCAGGCATGGTACAAGCCGATCACACCAGAAACATTACATTATTATCTATGCAGCCTACCACAAAGACTACTAAAAGAACTCCTGCCTAAGTATATTCTAGACTTTTCACTTTTTGCATATCCACTTCCCAATATTACCACTGAATACTGTCGACATTAGCTACAGTGTTTTATAGTTACACTCTTCAATAAATATGTATATGGTTGAAAATCCTATTTATTTTGGTAAGGATTTGCTTTGTAATTGTGATTTTTGAGTGTTTATTGCTTTAGCCTCCCAGCACGATGGTCAAACTCAAGTGTCCTGTTTAATGCGTGGAAAATATAGCTACTGACATAAATGGACTTTTCGGTGTTATGCTATACTGTCTATGGTTGTACCCGTACAGCAAGTTTACAATTTAGTACTGCGTTACTGGGGAGCAAGTTACTTTTTGTTGTTACATATCCAGGTTAATGATGTAACCTGCAGGAAAACCACTTTAGAAAACAAATGTCTTTTCAAATTTCCATGCACTGTTACATAGTATTTGACTGGCTGTAAAATGAACATTAGAACATTTTTGTGGTATTTTTTATATGTGATTCAACAGGTTTAAATGCAAGAATGGCTGCTGGAGTTTAGCTTGCTGGCTGAACAAATACACTTTTCACTGTGTTGAAAACTTCTATGGGTCTCTTATCATTCCTAAAACCTTCGATATTTTAATAAACTCAAATATTTCTAAGATTGACTAAGTGCTGAATTAAGTGTAATGTCTATTTGTGTTATGCTATGGCTCTCTGTCTTCCGAGTGCATATATATATATATTTTTTTCTTTGTGATGGTCAGGGGTTGTTTTTTCAGTTTGAATTAATTTAAGTAAAGATTTTCCCTGATAAGCCACATTTAGCATAGATTGATAGTAGATACTCGTTTAGACACAATTTGGTGCTAATTCAGAGGAAGAGTTTAGACTGTCTATAGTTTACCATTATGTTTTGTTATAATTGTTAACATGCAGTATTCTTTAATATTAATTCTGTGTGACTAAAGAAGTTATCAGGAAAGTCAAACATTTGCTGAGGCAGTACAAGGTATAAAAAGATTCAGCCACAAGTTTATTTTAGGTGTATTTCATAGAATGACCAACCTCCTAATTCTACGGTAAATTATTAAAGAGCTCAAATTCTGTGTGGAATTAAAAAGAACAAAATAACAATGTTTCTCTTTATGTTAAGAATAATTTAATAACTTACACATTTACAGATAAAAAGCATGAAAACATCATAGCCAGAGTCGCATAATGTACTGTAGTTGCTACATTTTAGCTGTTGTGGTCCAAAACCTTATTGGTGGCAACAAATAGAAAAAAACTAATCCTTCAAAATACAACTATAAACATTTTGACTTCATATTTATTATTTTTTCTGAGGTCCCACGTTGGCACTGAGGATTGATGTAGGGACTCATGGCTCACTTACAACCACATTATGTCAGGTTAGGCAGTATGTTTGGGACATAATGCAGAAAAACAGACCAATATTGACATTAGGTATAAAGCGTTGGGAGTTTGGAGACTCACTTAATAGCTCTTCAGTTGTAAGATGTTGTTACTCCTTGAAGCTCACACTTCTGAAATGAAAATGTAAAGAGCTATTAGAAGCTAAATAATAACAGCTACATGCAGTAGTTTAGATATAACAAGGGCAGTAAATGCAAAACAAACTAAATACATAAATATGTGTCAGAGCATGTCTTGTCAGGTGCCCAGAAATCTCTATGAATCACTACAGAGTTGCAGATAGTTACGCAGCACATCACAGCAATATTCTGGTTATATTTATGTACCAACATTACTGAAGGGCATTCAGTAAGTCTGACAATACTTAGGCAGAATGATGCTCACTTGTCTGCTGCCTTGAACTCATTGGACCTGTCCCGAGTTCGCTCCAGACTCTGATCCTGAGTGCGGTCCCGAGTCCGGTCCAGACTTCGGAGGATGGAGTGCTCCGGAGAGGAATGAGATGCAGAAGAGACATTATGAGGTGATAAACTCCTCAGAGATGAGAACGACAAACCCTGTTTCCTCATCTCCTGGACAGCTCTCTCTCTGAGGAATAATAAACAGGCAATGCAATGTTACTTTGTTTTTGTTTTTTGTTTTTAGAATGGTCTATAAAAAGCAAGAAATACTATAACCAGGATTTTAAGTTAAGATATTAAGTCAAGTCAATTTGTGGTGATGGTACTATTACATGCCAATTTTTTTTTTTCTCTTATGCTCCACTAAAAACTGACAAGATAAAAGATTGTGATTCCCAGTTTAGGTTCATATAAACTATATCATGCATTATGTACCAGTTATGAAACTTTAGTTTAGCCTACAAATCATCAGTTTCTTCAGCTTTCACCCATTTTTCTCACCTTTCAAAGCGTTCACTGGTCAGCTGTCTTTTCAACACGTCCATCTCCGTCTGCAGCTGAGAAAGTTTACTGCGCAGTTGAGACACCTCTCGGGCATGTTCAGCACTGAGAAATAGAAATACATGTACGTTATAATTAATGTTAAATATTTCACAAAAATCAAACATATCTGATGATGAAATTACTTTTTGCTGTCAGCGAGAGTGAGTCTGTCTCGCAGTATTTTTAGCTCTGACTCCTTCTCGCTGGCTGTGAGGTGCGTCTGAAATTCCTTTTGGCGGTTAGTGGAGAGCAGAGTCTCCAGATTACGAACGGTTAATCTCTCACTGGCCAGTTGCTTCTTGAGGAGTTCAACTTCTGATCGAACGTCCTCCAGCTCCCCTGTTACCTTCAAACACAGACCATGCATACTATGTTTAAACTGATTGTAAATAATAATAATTCTTCAGGTTTTTACATGACCCAAAATCTGTTACACATTTATTAGGATGCACCATTTCACACTTGATCAGTATATAGATAATTAATTACATTGTTATTAAAGCAATAATATGTGGCTTTAGTCTAATCGCTGTTGCCATTTCAAAGTTTTATGGCGGTATAAGAAAAGGGTTGATGGAGCCTCACCCTTTCCAGATCCATGCTCTTGTTGGCGAGATGTCGTGCTGTAATTTCTTTCCCCGAGTCTAATTTAACACAGAGCTCCCGGACAGAAGCCAGATCTGACAACAGAGAGGCCTTCTCCTCTCGGGCCTTGTGCAGCTCCTGTTCCAGATGGGACATCCCACGAACCAGGGAAGACACCTGCCCCTCATATGCCTGTATAGCCTGCATATGCTGCAATTAAGAGGAAGGCATTATAAAATCGTTGATAAAGAAAAAGTCTATAAACAAACGAAATTTAACAAGATGCACTTTTCATCAAGAATCATCAGGATTCATGAGGAAAAACACGTACATTCACTATAAAAGTAATCTGATATGGTATCAATCATCTGACACAATGTGCAATCACATTACAAGTTATAGCTTACTATTTTCCCAATCACCATTGTATTGCATTGTGTTGTCACAAAATTATTTAACTTATTTAAATTACCTGTTTGATTTCCCTCTCCTGGTTGCTGACAGTCTCTCTCAAATGTCTGCGCTCTGTGTCAGTGGACAGCAGCTCCAGTCTGATGGTGTTGTTGATGCCCTCTGCCTGCTGAAGCTTCTGCTCCCGCTCTTCCACATCTGTATGGGCCATTCTGAAGCGCTCCAGGAGGTTTCTGTTCTCCTGCTCCTTTGGATTACAACCAGAACCTCGGTCCGAAATGAAAATGTTGATCTTGAAATGTTTAGAAAAGAGGCTTCTTACCTTAGCAGCCATCACTTTTTCTATTCTGGCCACTTCAGTGATGTATGAGTGGACTCTTAGCTTAAGCTCGTCTTTCTCATGTAACGCTTCTTCCATCTCTAGATGCACCGCCTAAATCATCACCAAATTAAGACTTTAGTCATATTATCATCGCGTAAATGTGATCTATGCTTCAGTACATGTATATGAAGACATACCTGGTTTTCTCTGGTCATTGTGACGAGGTCGTCCTGTAGTCTCCTGTTCTCTCGGATGGTGATTTCTCTGTCTCTCTTTAGTCCAACCACTTCCTCTTGAGAAGTGTCCAACTGTTTCCTCAGACTAACCACCTCTCTCTCACGGCTGTTCAGGGCCCCCTGAAGCTGACTGCAAACAGCAGTCAGGACATGACATCAAAACAATTAACAAACCAAAGCTTCAAGTGAATTTGATGTAGCTGACCTAGATCACTTAAGTCAAGAAGAGGCTTCATTAATACTTACGCCAGTGAGTTGTCCATGTTAGTAACTGTGAGTCTCACTTCTTCAATGGTCCTCTCCTGTCAAAAAACACAAATCTTCAAATCACATATTTCTGAAGGCTTTAGAACATTTCAGAACCATTGAGAAATGGGCAATATTTAAGAAGCAGTTGCTACCTTCTTGTTGAGCTCGTCTTGCAGAGTGATCAGCTTCTCAGTCTTCAGGTCCACCTCATCCTGCAGAGCGTCCTTCTCTCTGTCCAGCGCCGAGATGGACTTCTGCAGCAGAGACATTTCCTCTTTGTGCCTGAAGCTCTGTTGAGTCAACTCAACTGACAAAACAATAGTGTTACAGCAAAAATACACAAGATACTACTCTACTGATTTACAAAATGAAAGAAAAAAACAAAACAACAACATAAAGATATTGTGTGTAGTCAGATATTTTGAGCAGTGTAAGGTCGCCTACTGAAAGAAAAAGTAAATGTTTGAAATACTGACCCATTCTCTGCTCCATCTTGTCGATCTGCTCTTGCGCAGCGTGGAGCTCATTCATCTTCACAGTGAGCCTGTGCTGTGTGTCAGACAGAGACCTCTCCATCTGCTCCTGCAATAATCTGTACAACAGAATAAGATACAACTTTATTGAGCGCTCAGTGACAGGAGGATACAATAACATGGACTGCTATATTGCACTTTGCCAGCATGATTATAATAATCATGCTGGCAAAATAAAGACTGCTACTACACCACAAACCTCAAATTACAAGCCAGCCAGGGCATCTTCTGTCCATGATAAAGATATTTATGAAGGTTCTCTCTCAATAAACACAGTAGTTTGTTGAAAGTAGCTTATTTTAATTATATTTTGTTTTAATATGGGAAAAAGAATGAAAACACAGTGTTGTGTCCATGTCTTGTTCAGTAGTGGCAGGCAATAACAGTGGTGGTTTGACCCAAAACTAAGTATCTACGCTAGTATTGCAATATAGATCAGATGCGAATACTGTGCTCATTGCTATTGTTTAGTGTAAATATTAAAAATATTTTTGTCAACACTTGTCGCTTTAAGTTTACCTGATCATACGCAGCTATAGTACGTAATAAGCAATGCCATTAATTTAAGGTGATCTGCGCTGCAGTTTTGGTCTAGATCCAACTGTGATAAAATTACTACATGAGGCAAAGTGACCTACTGTCCTGATTTTTTGAGCCTCCAAAACCAGGAGAGAAAACACCACTGAATATGACCTTCTTTTTGATTATGTGTGTCAGTGTGTCTCTATCCAAGCATGAGTCTTTTGAGGGACTCTAGTCTACTCACTATTAAACCTTTATTTCATAGAACATCATAGTACTATGTATGAGTCATGTTATGAATTGAGTTATGAGTACAGACTCATAACTCAAGATACCAATATCTCGATACAGTGCACTTTCGATTCGATACAATATATTTCAAATCGATTCAATACGGTTCAATAAAAAATAAAGTCTCAATGCCTGTGACACTAAAAGCATTTGTTAAACCCCTTCTTGTGCAAAGTTCAAATGAAACACACCCATTTTAATCATCAAAACAGTGATAATGTCAAATGTGTCACTTAAACGAGTTTCCTTCCTCTAAACAAGCAACAAAACTGTAGCTCTGTAACAAAATAATTCAGTAAAATATACCAAAAATACTCTTGAAGATATATCGATACAGGAGTCCACAATATCGATACTGTATCATCACAACAAATGATACGATATATCGATATTTCAATATTTTTGCACACCCCTAGAGTAAACCAGCACATAATACATTTTTGATTTAGATAAAACATGATTCCATTAATTAGAAATCAACAACAACCATTCTTTTGTAAGCAAGAAGCTCACAACACTAATGAATGCTTACAACAGTCTTTTTTGGCTTTCTCCATACCTTAGGGCACTAGCCTCTGCCTTTTGTTGAACTGTCTCCTCTGTGTTCTGGGCCAGAGCTGCACAGCGAGTCTTCAACTCCTCCTCCACAGCCTCCCTGCTCTCCTTCAACAGACACACCTGGGCACGCAAGTCCAGTCTCTCACGCTCCAACTGTGGATGCAGGAAATGATGCCCATTAGATGAACCAATCGCACAAGATATTTAAAAAAGCTATATTCCAGTATCATTACAATTTTAACAGAATTCTCAAGGTCAACTATCTTCTTTTCATCCTCTTGTTTGTTAGTGAGGGCAGAGGACTGAGCAACCTGGAAGAAAAATATTTATAATAATTACTTGTGTAAAAATTATCTTAGTAATAGTATTGTAACAGTAACAGCCTGTAGCCACCTCTAATTTGTCCAGTAGCAAGTCTCTCTCTGAGGTCAACTGTAGAATTTTGAGTTCAGCCTCTTTCATCTCATCCTCCAGTTTAAAAATGCCATGCGAGTCTCTCTTAGATACTTTTAAATCATCTTGTGCCTGAATAAAATAGTTACCAGGTCTTTAGCTAAACCATGTGCTGATCAAAATATCTTCCAACAGCAAGCTAGTGTTAAACCATGGTTATAGAGCTATAATACTGCATTTTGTGACAGTGACTCAGAGATACATTTCAAATTGCTCACCTGTTTTAATGAGACCTTTAGTTTATCCCTCTCACTGGTCAGGGTTTTCACATTGTTTTGAATATCCTCCATGTGTTTCTCAAAGTCCAAAAGAACATTTTTCAGCTCATCTCTCTCCTGAACCAATCTGCGAACTTCACCCTCTGTGGCTCCTCTCTGCAGGAAATATTCATGGTGTTTAAAATGTTAAGAGTAGAATGTGGTGCAAAAAGATGTCCCAGGATCTGGTCTTACTTTGGGACTTCTGCCCCGTAAGGGACTGAGGCTAGGGCTTGTGTCACTTCGGGATCTCTTGTATCTCTCAGCTTCTTGTCGATAGTAATCTCGCTCTTCTTCTAGACTTTTAACAAAAGCATCGAGTCGTGACGGAGAGCGCTCCCTTCCACACACACCATATTTGGTCCGCATGGCCTCCAACTCTAGCACCAGGTCTTTATCTGCAATAAGTACACAAATTCAGACAGCACAAGAGTTGGTATGATAAGACTCATAATTGTATGCATTTTTAAACTGTAAACTCTTGTTCACCAGATGCCAGCGTTTTCTCCAGTTTTCCTTGCAGTCTTATTTTTTCTTCTTCTAGGAAGTTGATGAGACCTTCCATTTTTGCATTTTGCTCCTTTAGATCAGCCATCTCATCTCTGAGGCGGTCTTTCTCAAAATCTGCCTCAGACTGATCCTGCATCATCAAAGCAAAAAAAAACATACAATGACTAAAGACTTTTAGCAAACCACATCAGTAAAAATAATTACACAAGTGTTTTATTGTTTTCAACAGATTGTAGAGCTTACCCTCCTGAGCTTTGTGATTATATCCTCCAAATCTCCAATAATTGTCTGCTGTCTCTGGATTTCTTCCTGTAAACAATAAAACTAAAAATGTACAATGGCACACTGGATTGCGATGTAGAAACACTCTTGTGAGTGTTTATTATCCTGATCCTCATGTTGTCTTCATAAAAAAACTATCACTTCCTCATTCTATGGTCAGCAAAACTAATAAAATAAAAAATGCTTTGTCATACTTTGCTTTCTAGAAGCTCTTGGTCAGCAGTCTCCAACACTCGGTCTTTGTCCAGCTCCAGCTTCTTGGCGAGGTCATCGATGTGTGTCAGCTCTTCACACAGCTCCAGGTTTTTCAGAGAAAGATTGGCAACTTCACTGGAGGCCTGTTTCTTCCTCTGCTGCAGTCCCTGAATCTTCTGCTCCAGTGTCCTGTTGGCCTCTTGAAGATACTCAATCTGTGTGAGTCCCAAAAACATAAGTAAAAAATGAAACTTGATAAATAAATCTATTAAGAAATGAGAAGCTTTTTACCTGCAGGTTGAGGTGTGCGATCATCTTCTCGCTGCTGACATTTTGTGCTTCAAGAGAAATAATGTCATGAGGTCGTCCTCCATGAAGCATGCGATTCAAACGGTCAATCTCTTTATCCCTCTCCTCTACCTATCAAAGGAAAGTTTATTCATATCGTACAGTTCATACACAAAGTAATTCAAAGTGCTTTACAGAATAAAACATACATTAAAATTACAATACAAACAAATAAAAACATAAATCATAATCATAACATTAACATAAAAGAAAAGCGTGTACATATCAGTCATATTCAGTCCCATAAAGGATCAGCTACATAATATGGCATCAATAACAGATCTAAATTTACCACAGGGTCATACAATGTAATAATAAACCATATATAAGTGTTATTACAAAATCAAAAATCACACACAAGCCATTAGGCATAATTGTAATGATTACTTTGATACACAAATAACATTTTCTAATATTGTCCCTTGTATATTGCAGATTTCTCTTACTTGAATGTTGAGGTGTTTTATTGTCTCATGGCAATTCTCCAGATCTAGTTTAAGTTTTATAATGTCTCCTTGAAGCTCGTGGATTCTATAACAAACATTAGTTTACGCTAATAAAATACAGGACATAAATCTTTTCATCATAACAGACTCATAATTTCCAAACCTTCCGTCTGCCAAAAGCAACATGTCGGCTATATAGGGGTCATCAGGCTGTGGCACAGGATATGAAGATGATGAAGAGGGAGGAATCAAATCATCTATTTGCATTCTCTGACGCCTGAAGGGAATACTGTGTTTTTTGCCACCTGTATGAATAATAAGACTATATGATCTCATCTGGATCACAAAATGTAAGAAAGCAAACTGGTGTGTGTCAAATTACCTGGGGTTTGCACCACTGCTTGCATGTTCTTCTCCTGCAGCTGCTGGATACGTTCTCCTTTAGCTTTACTGTCCTTTTCGAGGCAACGGACTTTGTGCACATACTGGTTATTTAAAAACTTCAGGTCAGTTGTCTCGTGGTCCAATTTCCTGACATGTGTCTTAAGCTCTGCAATGGAAACACTATATTTTTATCTTTGTCTGTAAAAACAATTTCTAAGCTGACAGCATACCATTGATGACACGATCCTTGTCCTCCTTCAGCTTCAGTAGATCCAGGTGGAGCTCATTGTTCTCTCTGACCAATCGGGCATTTTCTGACTTGTAAGGTTCAAGCAAAGCATCAAAGTTTTTACTTTCCTTCTCAGTCTTTCCTGCAGAAAGCTTGGCATTGCGCAAACTTTCAGTGGTATGGACTAGATCACTAGAAATTTTGGAGACATGGATAGATCAGTAGATTTACTAACTAAAATGAAAATTGACAAAACAGAAGAGTGTAGAGGGGTTCTGTTATAGCAAGATGCTCACCTGAAAAGTTTCTCCACCAGGGGAAGTGATTCAATGCCCAGTGTCTGTCTGTAGCCCAGCTGGTCCAGACGCTTTCTCAAGTTGACAAACTTTCTCTCAGCGCTGCTGTTCATGGCTGTGCTCATGTAGCTTCTGTCATTGCAAAAATGTTAAGGGCTTATCAGTTATTAGTATTAGCTATCCAACTCTCCAGAGAGCAGCTAACGCTTTATGAAGTTAGCGTCAATGTTAGCTTGCAAGATTAGCTTTAGCTGGGAGCAAAGAGTGTCGACATTAGAGGGAAAACATGTCTGGGTACAGTCAGCCAGCATGTTGTATGGTTAGTTTAACAGCTGGTTAGCATCAGTCCATGTTATTAGCTAGCCTAACCCCGTCGATTTTACTTTTGCTCACCAGTGATTCTGCGAGGAACTTGACAGCGTCAAGTCAACAAAGCTTCAAGAAACGTCTTGCTTGGGACAAGTACTGCTCACTATGCTTATTTTAGATGTACAATGCATCGCTGTATAAAATGGGATCATAAATTCTTCCCGTTACTTGGTTTCCGCGGTAAAGTGTTTGAAAAGAGCGCCGAGGTGCTGAGTTTGGACTCGTCGCCATGGAAGTGCGTAACTGGTAGTGCGCATGTGCAAAGGGCACAGTAGTGTCGTTTGTTTTCTGCTTCAGTACACACCGAACTTGGGCATAAACAAGAAGCATCGAAAATTAAATAAACATTAAGGTTATAAGGTTAAAAAGATTATAAAAACATGAGACAAAGTAGATAATAGCATCTGTAAATTTAATATATACATACATGTGGCAAAAAAAATAACAAAAGGCATGATTAATATTTTATTTGTGTTGAATCTAACACAAAAATGTGCTCCCTTTAATATATTATAAGAAAAAAACTACACGCACGCACGCACTCACTCATTCAACAAAGAAATTTCATTATATACACTAACAAGCAGTATGGAAGTAAAATGCTAGTATAATTTCAGCCAGTAACAGGTAGTGGATGGAGTCATTGTTACAGAGCATTTAGTGCGATTGGGCAATACTAGAGAAGTACTCCAGCATGTCTTGAATGGTAAACTCCATGGTGATTCCAGAGCCTGGGTAGCATCTGCCTATTAAATCTTCAAAGTGCTTGTACTGTCTGATAAACTCGTCTTGCATGGAGTGCCACACCACCTAGTGGATAAAATTAAGTAATGTAAAACTGAAATGTGTAAAAAAAGGTTTTTGAGCATGCAGTTATTTTCTTACTTGAAGCAGGCTTTCTTCCTCACACAGATGTTTATCAACTTTCCTGTATAGGTTGTCAAGTCCCTTTTTCACTTCTTTGCCAGGATATTCTTTGATAACTTTGCGAAGTTCTTGTTTGTTGAAGGCCAGTTGATAGCTCACCTCCTCCTCACGGACACCCTGAGCTACACGTGCTTCCACTCCCTCAAAGAAATGCTAGAGAAGACAGATTTTAAATAAAAATACATACATACTTTATGATATGAGATATATATATATATTTATATATATATATTTATTTAAAGATAGATAGATATATCTATATCTATCTCTATATCTATATATTTATTTTTTATTTTTTTCTTACGTTGAGTTTTTCCAGAGGCTGACCGAGAGAGTTGATGACATAAGACTGGAGATGATCTGTATATTTCTGCTTGGCTTCACGTCTCTCCGCATCCAAACATGAGATCTTAAGACGTGACAGTGTTGAAAAGATGTGATGAAAATTCTCCATCATAACAACGTCACGTGGTGTCTTTTGGCTTTCACTGGCCACTTTCTCCACTGTTGAACAAAAAGATTTTCTCAGTAATATCAATTACACAAAACTAAAGTGAATAAGAGTCTTGGGATTACCATTCATAAATACAGCTCTGATAAGTTTGACATAAGCTTTGTCCAGGTCCCCACGGCGTTCAGCGTTACGAAAAATGGTTTCAGCTAACTCTGCAAACTCTTCAAATCCAGTAACAAAAGGCAGGATGCCAACTTTGCTTTTCTTTGAGATTTTAACTTCTTCCATCTGTCTTATCTGACCAGACTGCAAAGAAAACACAGAGATAAGGGTTAAAGTATTTAGACTTATTAGACTCGACTTACTAAAGCACTTCATTCAGGCAGCAAATTCTAATCGCTAAGTCAGAACTTGAGGTTTTTCAGGTCAATGTGACTGACAGACTGCAAATTTTGTCATGTTTACGTCAGTGCTGTATATTCTAAACTTCATCATTTACATCAAAATATACTGTACATGAACTTACTATGCATTTATCAAAGTTCCTCTTGACAGTGACCAGCACATTTCCCAATGTCGTGCTGAGATATGAGGCCGGATCGACATTCTCCGCTGTCCAAACATGGTGACTCATTTTCACTAACATGTACAGAGAGTTGAAGCTGTCGATCTTGTCCCCTAAAGCTATGAGACTGTTCAGCTCTGTCTCTATGCTCTGGAAGATTTTATTCATCATCAGACGTACCATGTCTTTCCTACAATAAATACATTATGTTGAAATGAATAGTGCAGAGGAGATTAAGTGTTGGTAAAATTTCAAATGCACCACTTACTCAGATGACAAGGAGTGTCTGTGTTCGGTTTGATGAGGTATTCTCGTCTGCATGCCTGCGTCGGGCTCTTCTGTTTCCGGCTGACAGGAAAATACATAACAAATCAATGCAAATAGGTACAACTGGATATATAGTCACAGTAAAGGACCACAAAACAACATTCCTATAATTTTAGTTGCTTGACTGTGCTGTCTTGGTTTTTAAGATAAATTTAAGTAAATTTAAAAAAAGTATTAACTACAGAGTGGTTGGTGACTTTTGTGGTTACCTGGCTACTGAGCAGTTTTTGACACTTTGTTTTTTGTGCTCAGTTTTTAACATCATATCATGGGATTTTAACCAACTAAGAAGTGCAGCATGTGCAGTTCAATGGACAAGTAAGGGACAGTTGGATTTTGTGAAATGAATGGTTTGTTTTTCCGGTATTCATGGAGATTGTGAAAGAGGCTAGCTAAGGAGCTAGCTATGGACATTAGAGATGTTACAGGCATTTTACACCATATGTTGCAGCAAATATGGCAGAATATTTCCAGGGGAAACATTTTGAAGAAATGGACCATTTCATCACCAACTGAAATAAGTGAGCGGAGTAAGAACGTAACTTTTCCAGTTGTGTTCACCTGGCTCCTCCTGGACACTGCTGAGATGCTGCAGGACACAGAGGAGGGACTCTTTTGGTGCTTCCTCTCCTCAAACTGCCCTGACACAAATCTGCTGACCCTACTTGACTAGTCCTTCTGTTATGCTGCAATGAGACCTTTGAGACCTTTGAGACCTCTGAGACATAAAGGTGACTGTTGTAAAGCAGTTTGCTGCAGCAAAACTTGAAGTTCCCTCAAGATCAATAAAGTATCTCTCTCTAGCGCTCTAAACATGTTCTTACAGCACACAATAGCAGTTAAATTATTTCTTACATTATATTTTTCTTATTCATTACTATTAACCAACCTGATTAGATATATAAGGTATATTACACAAAACATACAGAGTATACACAAAACAGCCAAACAAAACTGATAATTTACCTGGGCGAGTGGAGGAATGACTGCTTGGTGCTGCTGTAGTTTAAAGAATTTACTAATAAAGTCCTGTTCAGCAAGACATAATGGTTCCAACTCACTGAGAACCTGCTCAAAAATCTGAAACCAAACAACAGTTGTGTCCATGTTTGAAAGTGACACACAAACAGCAAAGTACGGAAAAGTATTAAGACTAGAGTATGAACCTTGTCAAATTTGGTCCTGTCAGCCACGTCCAAATCTGAGGCTGACATGTTTCCCATATCGAGCAGGGAAGAGGACTGGGAGCGTCTGCTGTTGGAGCCCTGAACAGTGAGTTTGTTCAGACTGGAAGTGGAGCCGGTGAGTTTTCCAGAGCTGCCATGGAGGCCTAGCGCAACACACACAAGGTTAAGTTTGAGAAAAAGGGTCATATTTTACCTTCCAATCACTTACCAAACAATTGGGTGGTTAAGCAGTAGTGACAAGTGACTGCACATGAATTAAAAGGCTATGGTTTGACATAGTAAATAAATAAACATGCCTTTTCAATTTTGCACATATGGTGCCCAAATAAAAATATGCCGTTTTAAATGGCTATATTAGTTTTTGTGACATACAATAGATTTACAACATAACATTTAACATTTTGGAAATTAAAAGATTGACCAGACATTTTCAGTATGTGGTACGACTCTAGTTGATCGTTCTTATCATGTTTTAAAGAGCAAGAATATAACTGTGAAGTAGACAGTTGACCCCATAGTACAAGTACAAAACAGGTCTCTGTCAGGACTGTGTGTTGGTTATTGGTGATGAAGACAAATAGCAAAAAAGCACAATAAAAGCCATTTATTTAAGTTAAGTCTTTGAGCTTGATACTTACTTTCTGTTTCCGTTTTGAGTGCACTCTCTTTCCGAGGAAGCGTGGCTGCAGCCGGTTAGAAAGGCAGGCATCAAAGACAGAGACATGTTAGGCTCAGAACATGCAGCAATGGGATGGGTGAGAGGTTAGAAATGTTCAGTGGCTTAAGAATGCTAGCACAAACTTTGGAAAACAAAATACACCACTTTGTTTTCAGAGATAAGCTGACACAGGACATACAGTGCATGAGTGACGTAAAGGTCCACCTTGTGCCATACCCAAACATACACACATAAGCAAAAGCAAATGATGATTTTATGTATAAGGCATAAAAGCATTAAGGCAGATATTCATATTGGCTTTATCGTGGTATGACACCTCAGAAATACAGTTACACAACATAGTGTACTCGTGCAAAGAAATTATTTTTCATATGTATTTGGATGAGACAGTTTTGGAGAGGTTTCAAGTCTTACCAAACTTGCCCTTTGCCTCCTTGCTTGTTCCTGCCATTTTGATCTTGGCTACTTCGAAGAAATCTTTAATTTCACGTTCATACAGCCGGCTCATGTAATCAACATAGGTCTACAGAATAAGAGAGAAAACATACATTTTAGAACACCAATTCTCAATATATCAGTACACAAACTTTTTATGGATCTTACATAGACTTAATTTGACATTATTGTTTCACAGTGTGGTTGGGGCTTTAAGCTGCGTAGCACTGCTTTAGTCCCTAAACTAGGGCTGCAACTAACAATTAGTTTAGTCAATAAGTAAAACGATTACTTCTACAGTACATAGAGATTTTTAAACACATTCCAATCAGTTAAGGTAAAATATGCTAACTGAAAGCTTTTAATTAGAGAAAAGAGATCATTTTTTGTGTTTGTCTAGTCCTTGTTCTTTTTTACCAATTAATTGTTGCCAATTGTTACCAATGTTACCCCAATAGAAAATGTTTAATAATCACAGTTTTAAATTACATTAAATCAGATTATGACCCCTACCCTGGATAGACCGTCATATTTCTCCTTGTGTGTGTTCTTCAGCCACTCCATGAGTTTGGCGTAACGCAGCAGATCTCTGTGCAGGGGGCTGTGTTTAGGTAGAGTCAATTCTGCAGTGTTCTGGGACAGAGTGGAGCTCTGGTCA